ATATATATATATATATATATCAAACATTTTATATATTTAGATGTGGGGTGCCATTGAGTAGATTTTCTGAAGAGCTGATTGGATGCTGGCTGTGCTGTGATGCAGAAAGTTGGTCTGCTGCATCCTCCACAACACAACAGATCATCCTAACTTTTTTTTGGCAGTGTTTGCACCTTTATCTGATTTACATAATTCACTTTCTGAATCAAGTGTTAAAACAACACAGACAGCATGTGCAAATACGTGACACTACGAGTGAGCGCAATTCAGTTTTAGTGAATGCCCATGTTCTGTGTTGTGTGTACAGCACCTGCGGCCAGCTGCACATTAGCTTTGCACTTCCTACATGTTTATAGTTCCAAATGAAAATGTGCTCACAGCATGTGTGTGATGCAGGTGTGTGTGTGCTCACCTGTATGGCATTGGTGACGTTCCAACCCGCCTCCCAAGTTGTGATTCTCGGCCGTGTGCTGTGAGTACCGTCCTCACAGGAACCGTCTGAATGAAATGCAGCCGGACTTTCAGGACTGGCAGCCCGAGAGTCACACCTGCAAACGTCTCCATACGTGTGAGCCAGCTCATCCCTCACCACCAGACCTCGGTTCTCGTCAGCGCCCGCATGCAAGCGCTTCATCCAGAGAGACTCCACACGGCTCTTCACCCAAGAAAGCTGAGAACGTGACATAGCTCAGTCGCTGAATGTGGAAAGAGTGCACATAACTGCTTGGCTTTCACAGCTTTACCTCACATGAAGTGTCTCAATCCAGCCAAACTCACTGACATCCATCAGAAATGTCGTTCTGTCCAGCCAGATGCCAGTCTGAACGCTGCAAATGCATAACGGAGATCCGGGCCATCGCACCCGTGCTGTGCATCCATTTTAAATTGTGCGGAGGACTGACAGGCCGATGAACCGTAACATTATAATCACTTAAAAATGTGTGTTTGTTTAGAAAATGTTTTGCTTTTCATTTAGTCAGAATGAGGACGGTCTGCTTTTGGGGAATACAGATGAGACCAAATGTGTGAGTCCAACACTAGAGGGTGCAGAAGAAGTCCAGAAACTCCAGAGCATACCTACTCACCCCAAGGAAAAGAAAGGACTTTTTATCTAGTGTTTTTAACTCTCTCTCTCTCTCACACACACACACACACACACACACACTGAGAACAGTAAATTACATTGGATATACAAAAAACACACGTTACAGCATGTTGTTCCTCCAAACAACTACCCTAACAGAGTCTCGACAAACAACCTCATGAGGAAAAGTTTTTGAGCGTGAAAAAATTATGCAATAATATGATTTTAACTTGATTTCATTTATACTTTTTGGCTGTTTTCTCATCCCTGTTAGTTATAGTTTGTGTGGAATAAGTTCATCTTTAACTCACCCTGATGTCATTCTAAACCTCTGTGACTTTCTTTCATCTGCAGAGCACAAAAGAAGATATTATTTTCCATAAACTAACAAGCAATTGGCCCTGGACCCTTCAAAGCTTTAAAAAAAACTGCATATACTTATTTTGAAATTATTATAAAAATGGTCTATGCTACTTTATTCTCACCACATTTCAATTAATTGGTCTAGGGTAAATCTATTTCATTTTTATAATTTCATAGAAAAACAATTTTTGTAACACAAAACTACAAAAGTGAATTGACATAAATATCAAACCATTGTTTTTTCAACAAAATGTAACATTTTCTGTTTATTTTATATGAGGTTTTAAAGACGTTATCTGGAACTTTGTTTAAGTTAAAAAAAAAGTTTATGGAGTTGTAATTAGAGAACGTTTCAGTGTTTTACACTTTTTCTGCTTGAGAGTTTTCCAGTAGAGGAAATGCAGAGGAATGTGATCTCGGGACGCCCCCTCCTCAAAGCGCCTGGGACAGGAGGGCTGTGCCAGAGGAGCGTCCCAAACTTCCCAAAGTCACTCGTAGAGTTTCTGGAGGCTCCTGGACTGCGTCTGCTGTTCGACTGAGCGCACATGAAGAACAGGCAGATCAGGACATGAACAGATCATGTTTTGTCGTGCTCCTCGGGCTGCTGTGGCGGTGTTGTGGAGCTCAGCAGAGAGGTGAGTGGACCCACGGATCTCGTGTGTCTGTGTGTGTGTGTGAGTGTGTGTGTGTGAGTGTGAGTGTGTGTGTGTGTGTGTGTGAGAGAGAGTGTGTGTGTGTGTGTGTGTGTGAGTGTGTGTGTGTGAGTGTGAGTGTGTGTGTGTGTGTGTGTGAGAGAGAGTGTGTGTGTGTGTGTGTGTGTGAGTGTGTGTGTGTGAGTGTGAGTGTGTGTGTGTGTGTGTGTGAGAGAGAGTGTGTGTGTGTGTGTGTGTGTGAGTGTGTGTGTGTGAGTGTGAGTGTGTGTGTGTGTGTGTGTGAGAGAGAGTGTGTGTGTGTGTGTGTGTGTGAGTGTGTGTGTGTGAGTGTGAGTGTGTGTGTGTGTGTGTGTGAGAGAGAGTGTGTGTGTGTGTGTGTGTGTGAGTGTGTGTGTGTGAGTGTGAGTGTGTGTGTGTGTGTGTGTGAGAGAGAGTGTGTGTGTGTGTGTGTGTGTGAGTGTGTGTGTGTGAGTGTGAGTGTGTGTGTGTGTGTGTGTGAGAGAGAGTGTGTGTGTGTGTGTGTGTGTGTGTGTGTGTGAGTGAGTGAGCGCGCATTACGCACTCTGTGAATTCATGTGGCGATTTACTCGCCTGAAATATAGGCTGTATGTAATTTTTGTTTCTTAGTGAAATAGCTGGCTTTGTATTACGGTCGACTGCTAGAATTCAAATGATGCTATGTTCTATGACTTACTACTGATATAACTAACTAACAATATAGTTAGATATTGAACTTACATTGCTGCATCGACCTGACTCTGTTCTGTGTTTAGTTTTTTTTTGTTTTTTGATTCAAATCTTTGTTTTTCATTGAAATCAACCACTTGCATGCCCCCATTTATCACCATTACTTTACAATTTGTCTTTGTCTCTGCACTTTCTGCTCAACCCTATTGTTCTGTCTCATTTTCTTGAGCACTTGGCTCAAACAGAGATGAGTTTCTCTAACAAACTTTATCAGTATTTCATTACATTTCATTTTTTATTGGTTCAGTTGTTCAACTCTTTTATAGAAAAAAATCATGGTGACATTTTTGTCTAAGCACAAGTCAAAACATAATGAATAATGTGCTGTGGTGCAATGAAACCATTCGACAACCCTATTATTCTTTCTCATTTTCTTGAGCACTTGGCTCAAACAGAGATGAGTTTCTCTAACAAACTTTATCAGTATTTCATTACATTTCATTTTTTATTGGTTCAGTTGTTCAACTCTTTTATAGAAAAAAATCATGGTGACATTTTTGTCTAAGCACAAGTCAAAACATAATGAATAATGTGCTGTGGTGCAATGAAACAATTCGTCATTTGCACTGATATTCAGCCCTGTTACATTGAAGCCACAAATGTCATGTTATTTATTTTACTTTTATAAGTACTTTTGTAATCTACTTTCATCATTATGTGTGAGTACAAACAGTGAAACTGAGTGATACTACCAGAATTTGTGCTGTTTAAATTCTCTTTAATATATATATATATTTTTCGTCGCTTTCATAAACAATCTGTTTTGCAGTAGATGCAATATCCTTCAGTGAAAATAACGGTCAATATGTTGATGAAAGTTCTCACGCTCTCTAACCACTTAACCTCTATTCTGACACATGAGCAGTGGTCTACTTTCAGCTTTCTAACACAAGTAATCAAAGCTTTCTTCACTGAGAACCCTTGAACGAAATCAATTTGTGAGCATCAATTGCAGGGACCGTGGAGTGGCCTTTTAATATCACGCTGCTTTAAATGCTTTGCTAAGATCCATATTGTTTCATTTCTGCAGCCTCTGAAATGCTCGAATCTTCCAGAGCTGCTTGTGTCAATGACATTTCTTTAGCAGAGAAGATTAATCCAGAAAAAACCTGCGTGAAGCATCTTTCATCTTTCACGTAGTTGCTGTTGATTGTGTATGTCGACTCACGTGCTGTTCTCTATGCTCAAACACACACTGGGGACTGTGTGTGATCACCAGGTGTGTGTGTGTGCGCGCGTGTGTGTGTGTGTGTGTGTTAGTGGCAGCTAAACCCAGATGTTGGGAGTATTTTTAGAAACTAGGAATGGTTTCTATTCCTGATTTAGTAGACCAGGAATAGTGGACTCAGAATGCAGAGTCAGTATTCTCTGGATGCACTGATTGATGAGACAGAAAGAGTTCAGAAATGGATGTGATGCTCCATCCATGCTGAAAAGACCAGCACTACCCCGAGAAAATTGTCTGTTGTTTTTTCCTACAGATCAGTGGTAGTTTCTCGGCTGGAGCAGGACTCTGTGGAAATATGTGACCTGCTCGCTGCCTCCAGAGTAGTGTAGTTTTACAGGGGTTAACTTGACCATATTAGCTATAACAAAAACCTGCATGTGCTGAGGACACCAGCCTTCATAGCTTCAACTATAAGACTTTCCTGGCAATCTGCTTTGCTGCACTAAACAGCACTGGACCTGAATGGGAATTCAGGCTGGCCTAAGCTGGTCTTTTCAGAGGGTTTCTGCATAACATGAGCAGTTTGATGTGCTGTCAGAGAGCTTTGTAGTCTCACAGAAATCCAACAGCCACAGAAATCCCCAGAGAAAGTGTGTGAAAGCAGCAGACAGAATATGCTTACATGTGCGATCCGTCATGAGGCTTTTCCTCTTATCAAAATCAATACTTGGTTTATGTGGCACTGGGCTCTAGATGTGATGCTGGTTAGTGGCTCACAGATGCGTGTGGGTTGTACAGTCACAAAGTCAAATTTATTTACTGTTTAAAGAAGCATGTCTGATATACTGTAGATATCTGTTAAAATGTAAGGTATTCCTGTGATGCAAAGCTGAATTTTTCAGCATCATTACTCCAGTCTTCAGTGTCACATGAACCTTCAGAAATCATTCTAATATGCTGATCTGCTGCTCAAGAAACATTTCTGATTATTATCAGTGTTGAGAACAGTTGTGCTGCTTCATATTTGTGGAAACCATGATACATTATTTTTTCAAGATTATTTAATGATTAGAAAGTTCTAAAGAACAGCATTTGAAATAGAAATCTTTTGCATCATTATAAATGTCTACTGTCAACTTTGATCAATTTAATGCATCCTTGCTGAATAAAAGCATTAATTTCTTTAAAGCCCAAACTTCTAAATGGTACTGTAGATAGAGCTAGAAAGAGAAAAGCATCTCTGTGGCTATTATGCACGTTCAGGCTTTGTCTCTGTAATACCTCTGTCAGAAAAAAAACTGATTTCAGAATGCTTGAGGAGGAAAATCAATAGGTAATTCCACAACGCCGCCAATGAATAACCCAGTCCAATCAGATCTGACTTTATCCTGGTCACCGCTGATGAACAGATGCAAAAAGTACGCTCTGATGGATTGTTTTCAATGTTTTACCGATTGCTTGACGTTGATTTGCTTGCACACAACACAAATGGCCTCTAGGCTTATTTATGTTTGAGCAGAGAATGGTTTGAGTATAATGACAGAGAGAGAGAGAGAGAGAGAGAGAGCAAGAGAGCAGGAAGATTAATTTGCAGTCTGCAGTCCCTCTGCAAAAATTACCTTTAGGAGTTCAAAAGCTTGTCACAGGGGCAATAGTATGACATAATGAGAATATGGAGGGAAAAAAACAGATTGGTTTCATTCAAAGGCCCAAACTGAGAAAATGTGCAATTTGCTTCAGATGCTGATAATTATATGATGGAATTCTTGGCCTCTAGGCTTATTTATGTTTGAGCAGAGAATGGTTTGAGTATAATGACAGAGAGAGAGAGAGAGAGAGAGAGAGAGCAAGAGAGCAGGAAGATTAATTTGCAGTCTGCAGTCCCTCTGCAAAAATTACCTTTAGGAGTTCAAAAGCTTGTCACAGGGGCAATAGTATGACATAATGAGAATATGGAGGGAAAAAAACATTGGTTTCATTCAAAGGCCCAAACTGAGAAAATATGCAATTTGCTTCAGATGCTGATAATTATATGATGGAATTCTGATTCTTAATTAGATCTTTATAACAGTACAGCAGATACTGACATAAAATGATCAAAATATCAGTTGTCACTCTATATCTGAAATAATAAGTTTTAGTTTTAGTTTGGTTTGTTTATTTTATTTACTGAGCACTTTTACACAACCGACCATTGACCAAAGTGCTGTACAATATGTATACACATAAAAGAGACAATCATAACCATAAGAACACAACACTAAAACCACAAAATAAAATAACAATGAAAATGAAACCCTCAGTTTTAATACACAGACAATTTTTATGCCCCATTAAATGCGAGTGCGAGGAGGTGTTCTTTAAGGTTGTTTAAAAACACTTACTGTGGGTGCCAATCTGAGAGAAAAAGGTAAAACTTTCCAGAGTTTAGGAGCTATCGCTACAAAAGCTTGATCTCCACTTCTCCGTTTAGTTCTAGGAATCATCAAAGCCAGCTGATCAGCTAAACTTAAAGACCGTTTTAGCTCATGTTTCTCAATCAGTTTCACTAAATACTACGGAGCCATACTGTGCATAGATTTATAAACAAAAAACACAATTTTAAAGCTGATTCTGTAATGGATCGGTAGCCATAATTTAATGAAAATTTTTTAGTAATTTGTTTACCAACATATAGCGAGTTGCAGTGATCAAACCTTGTAAATACAAAAGCGTGAATGACATTTTACAGATCATGCATTGACAAAAATGGTTTCACCTTCGCTATTAATCTTAAGTGATAAAAACAGGACTTAACCACAGATTAAATCTGTTTCTCAAACTTGAGATCACTGTCGAAAAAACTCCTAAATTTTGCACTACTGGCTTACAAAAGGGGGCTAAACTAAACAGATCAGCAAAACTATTTGGGACTCCAAACCACACAACTTCAATTTTATCTTCATTCAGATTTTAAAAATTGTACGACAGCCATAATTTGATTTCTTGTACACAGTCCAACAAACACTCTATTTGCTTCTTACTATTTTTTAAATATTTTTATTTTTGCAGAGGAAGATACACTTGC